ACTCCATTATATTGGTTCCAAATGTTGTCTGATATATGTTTTAATGAAAGCAGCTGACACTGAATTTAATTTTTCCTCGGGAATATTTATCCATCAAAGTCATAACTTCCTCAAGATTATCTTGACAGAGAGTGCAGAACGGAGATGCAGCCTTTTAGTGCTCATTGACACAAAGAGTCCTATTATTGTTCTGAGGAATTGAAAATTCCAGAAATAACTATGAACAGAAAAAAACCAGAAAAACTTAAAATCCACCTTTCCTGTTTCTTCAATAGTTAAACCCTAGATGTTTACATGAACAACACCTTGGGTTACATGTTTTACTATTTAAAAACATTAAAATAAACATGTATCTAAATGTGAATATAATTAGTATCCAAATGGAAAGTGTCAGGATCAAAAATAAACCTAGGAAAATGTCTTAGCTCATTACAATGTCATTAGAGAAGCAGTTCTGTCAAAACTGATACATTTCCCCATGGTAATAATAAATCACCAAAGAAAATATGTATTCTAGGAAAACACACCTCAAAGGACACATGGACAGATTTCCAGGCTGCTGTCCTGCAAAGCTGGCTGTGAGCAAATTGTGCCATCACAGAAGCAGAGTTCAGCACCATCAGCTCAGCTGCCTACATGGGCATCAAACTCATCATTACATTTTTCATCTGAATCTTCTTGCAGAGAGTTACAGCACAATTGTTCTAATTTCAGGTTTTCTGGTAGGTAACCACATCATGGAAACATCCTTTGTGCTGTTTCATCACAGCTCCAGCCTGCCAGCAGACAGATGTTCCACATTCGGGGTTCTGTTTGCCTTTTTCAAAGGAACACAAAATGGAAACAGTGCGACAGCAGCAATTTTAGCAGAGTCAGAATGCACAACAAATGAACAAAGTGAGCCACGAGACATCTCCTGCACAAAGAATTCTTCATTCCCAGCTCTGCCTTTTTTCACTTGTTGTTGTTTGCATCTTAAAAAGTTCTGTCAGCAGAACCTCCTTCCTGCCCCAGAGAGGGGCTCCTAATTTATGAATGACAGCCAGTTAAAGAAGCTCTTTGGGATTTCCCTGGCAGCAAACCCATCCTGATACTTACTGCAATGAGACCCAACAAATTCACAAAGTTACTGCCCCTCCTGCCATGCTCTGAGTCAGCAAGGTCATCTTAGAGAGCTGCTGCCCGTCTTGAGCACCATTCCCCTCCCTGCAGATCACAGGATGCTTACAGACATCAGCCTTCCTTGCTTTTCCTAGGGAAATTATCCCTTAAAAACTCAATAGTGTGTATAAGCACAGCAGGGCAGGTGTTATAACAAAAACAAGGCCCACACCCATGCAGACAGCAGCACATTTCATGGTCAGTAACCCCTTCCTTCTCACCACTGATACTGAACCTCCAGATAATACAAGTTTTAGAAAGCAGTGGATTAAAGTGGATTCACCACAAGTACTGCAGCCAAGGATGTTTTCAGGGCTGGTGTCCACAAAATGCAGTGTAATGAGTTCCTGTGCTCCTATATTTATGTTATGGTAACACAAGACTTTCCAAAAGCATTTTCTTTCCTGTCTAAAGGGATTTTCCTGTGACTGCTGTAGTGAACTTCAAGCCTGAGCTACTTTTTACATGTCCAATATCTTCACAGAAGTGACTCTGACAGATAAAATATAACTATTGTGGTGGTTTTATAAAAGATGAACAAGTATTTTTGTTTTTCCACTTTATGGTCCTGCATTTTCAGTTGCAAAACATATATATGTGTGTGTGTGTGTGTGTGTGTGTGTGTGTGTGTGTGTGTGTGTGTGTGTAAATGTATATATAGAAACATATAAATATACCTGTACACACATATATACATGCACACACACACATCACACACCCCTTTGTGGGTATCACTCCCTTGGCAGCTCCTGAGGTTGGAAGTTGGTGATTTGTGAGCTGCAGTCTCAGACCTCCCCCCTTCCTGTCTCCCTCATTTCCACTTCCCTGGTGATCCTGGTGCTCCCCAGCTGAACTGGGAGCTTCTGACTGAGGCAGCCAAACCAGGAAAAATCTGGCCCACAAAAAACTCATGCATAAAATACAAAATAAAAAACCAAACCAAAACAAACCTCTCAACCTCCCCCCTGCCACCAGCCCCAAATCTTTTTGCCTTTGTAGCTCCAGACTGGGAATCAAGGTTTGACTTTATTTTAAAATAACAGTAAGGTTTTAGTCCAGCATCACTCATGTCAATACTTGCTAATCATCTGCAAGAAATTATTGCTATTGAAATTTTTTCTAAGTAATCCTTCAGTTTTTTGAGGATTGATTTTCCAACCATCACCATACAGTGGATGCCTGTCCAACTTGGTGTTCCTTCTTATAATACTTGCTTAAATTCTCTTAATAAAATAGAGCTTGTAAAGTCATATAAGTTTACATATTGAAGTCGCCTTGAAGGAGAGACTGCAAAATAAAATTCATGCTCATAGAGTTGATAATGCATTATTTATCCTACAGGAATGCCTCTATAACAGCAGTCAGAAAGCACAACCAAAGTACTAAGGCTGTTAAACTTATGTGGGGGGGGGGATCACACCACAAAACAAACAAACAAAGAAAAACAAAAACCCCAAACAAAAAAATACATTTAAAAAAACACCAAACACTTGGAAACAGAGATAAAAATACAAAGTTGAAGTCTCTTTTTTGACCTTAATTCATGTCCATTCTGCCCTCACCAAAGAGTGTCAGGAACCTGATCTGCAGAAACAGAGCAGGAGCTGTTTGCAGTGTCAGCTCTACAAGCAAAGATCCTTTGCATAGAAAAGAAACAGGAAATGAACATCAAGATCATAAACTGGTAATGAAATACAAAAGGTATACGAAAGAAAACCAAAACCCACAACTATTTGAATTACTTGTAATTCTCTCTGTGGCCACAACAATCTGTAGGCACAGCTGTGAAGCTGCCAAAAAGCTGTTTAATTGAAAATCTGGCATGTGTTTTTTACTACCTTACTCAGTTTTTAAAATGTGATCTTAATTGCCAAAAATGAGAGGGAAGAACATTACTTGCTTTTGGGAAAAAAAAAGAGATAATTATTTTTATTCATCATATGTATGAAGAATAAAATGCCCCAACACAAATATATTGATATTTAGAACTAAACACTAAAATGCCAACTCCTCAATACCATAACTCACAACAATTTACTTGACCCTTCAAAGTCTCCTTCCCAAGGGATCCTTTCCCTGTTTATCCCAGCCAGCAGTTCAGTTTTACAGATCTGAGCTGTGGTTCAGGAAAGGCATTAAATTAAAGCCAAGGCAGAGGAATCATCTGCAGAGGATCAGGTAACAGCAGCAAGAAGTTCTCACTGTGCCCAATTCTCCTTTAAGTCAGGGGCAGATTTCCCAGAAGCAAGAGACAGAGAAGCTTCTTCTCTTTTGTGTCTTGGCAGAAGGATTCCAAATTCTCCACCTTGAAACTCCCATTGCTGTGGGCTTTTCTGAATGGAAACTTTTCCCCTGTGCTAACAGACCCACTGAGTGCTCTCTGTTAGCCTGATTAAGTCAGTCAAAACCTGAGGAGAGATTTTAAATAAATTCACTGGGCTTTGGGTCAGCAAAATGTAAATTAAGTAAAGATGCAGCTCATAGGAATCCTGCAAGAAGTGGCTTTTCATTACCCTCATGGAGCTCAAGGACAGTTGAGGACATCAGGTCCTCAATCTCTGATGGAGGTCTAAGAACTTTTCAAACACTACCATGAAAGTTTGAAAGCTTCAGTGTTTTCAGTAGAGGCTGGAGCGAAATTTTTTCCACATGCTGTAAAAAAACCCAATTCTACTTCCTAACATGCAGGGACTTTTCTGAAACATCTAGCAGCCCTATTCAGGGCTCAAGTCAGAACAAACGAGTTCTTAAATGTTATTTTCTCATTGGGAAATCGACATTTTCTACTCTGAATTTAAAGCCATTGTCCTGATGAATATAAAAGTGAGATGAAGTGGAGGTAAAAATAAAAACACCTGTGGATATTTGAGTTTAGTTATGTATCACTCTGATTTCACTTTCTTACCTCTCCCCTCCCCAAGAGCCATTTCCATCACCCAGACTGGGGTTTGGGACCTCGGTGTAGCCTGGCAGTAACACAGGTACAGTGTGTGCCTGCAGTCTGCTGAGAAGACACATGCTCAATATTCCAATTTTCAGGAAATATCCCAGATCTTAATTGCTCTGCAGTTAGTGTGGCTGAGGAAATAGGTTCTTAATTTGTCTGGCTCCAGCAGAAACATTTTTCAGGTTAACTCAGTAGAGAAAGGTTTTTTTGTTTTTGTTTTTCTGTTGTTTGTTTGTTTTTAATGGGAAGCATTTCCTTCTTCAGAATTGGAGTTTAAGTGATGTTGGAATAGTTAAACAGCAGCCACAAAGCAGGTCTAGCATTTAACATTATGATATGGTGACTCTTTAGGGCTGTTGCCTGTAGCCAGGGAGCACAGAGCAGGGTGAGGAGGGAGCAGTTTCCCTGGCTGAGCCTGGGTGCCCCCGAGCTGGCTCCACATGGAAACCCCCCAGACCACCTGCCCTGTTCCTGCTCTTTGGGAGCACGATGGGCACCGTGCCCAGTGCCAGAGTGACCAGCCCCAGCCTGTCCAGGTAACCCAGCACAGCCCACTCACCCCAGGCTGCTGGCTGAGCTCCTGCAGCCAGGACAGCACCGATGGCATCTGCTGCAGAGTCCATCACGGGCTCTCCATGCCAGGGGAGAGCAGGAATGAGCCCTGGCTGCGCTGCACTTACGGTGGCCGTGCCCCTCTGGGATTATCTCTGGGTGGTTTTAAGTGCTATAGTCTCGAGTGTCTGACATGGCAGGGTCAGCAAGGATGTGGGCTGAGGAACAAAGCACCAGACACTCGTTTTCTTGTCACTTTACTTGCTCCTGTTATGCTGAAGTAATGTACTGTGGCATTTTTTTTCCAGGAATTTAATGAATATTTCTTTTTTTCTTTCAGCTATGATGAATGTGTGGGGCCAGGAGCAACACAAATATATATTCCCACAGATGATCCCCCCCCATATTCCCTTACGGACCCTTGCCAAAGAAATGAAATACCCAGAAATATCTGTATCAGGCAGGAAGAGGAAGCAGCCTCTGGGACTGCAGATGCTGCAGTGGGGCTGCAGGACTTGCAGCAGCCCAGCTCAGCGCTGGCAGTGATCTCGCAGTGTGGGGACAGCGGCGTCTGAGCGCGGCTCCAGCCGGGACAGGAACAGGAACGCGCTCCTGCTGCCAGCAGAGCCCAGACCACGCAACGCAAGTGGCTCTTTCCTTCAGTTCTTCTGGAGAACTCAGACCAATGGAAGAAGAAAACCTCTGGAAGTTTTACCAAATTTATATCTTTGAACAGGGATACCATGGGATTTTTCTTTTTACAGTGAATTTTGCAAGTTTACCTGAATTTCCCTGTTTGTGCTTCCATGGCATCACACAGCATAAAAGAGCAGCAGAGACAAGCAGCACAGGTGACTTTTCTGAAGCATTGCAGAACCCATTGAAATCAGCCACTCATTATGAGGATAAATGTTATCCAGTCAAGCCTACTTGTTGATTTTACAATACTTTGCATGTTTTAGAACAGAAGGAAAAAGAAGAGGCTTTTGTTGTCATTGTAGGTGTCACTAGTACAGCTCATTCAGTGTATTGACAACAAAGCATTTTTAAGTAACTCTTTGTCTAACTGTGTGTTTCAGTAGGCAAAGCACTACTACAGAAATGATTATTATCAGTACCATGTAGAAGCAAAAGCAAATAATAATAATAATTTAATATTCACATTATTCCTTTGGTAGCAGGCTTTCCAGGTCATTGCAAAGCCTGTTGCAAGTCTTCCTCAAACAAAACCATCCACAAGTGGCAGAGAGGTGGCCGTGGGTCCCCACAGTGCGGCTGGCTGCAGCGGCAGGAGCTGCAGCACAGCTCTGCACTGGAGCTGCAGCATAGCTGTGCCCTAGAGCCGCAGCACAGTTCTGCACTGGAGCTGCAGCACGGCTCTGCACAGGAGCTGCAGCACGGCTGTGCACTGGAGCTGCAGCACGGCTGTGCACTGGAGCTGCAGCACAGCTCTGCACTGGAGCTGCAGCCCAGCTCTGCACTGGAGCCGCAGCACGGCTCTGCACTGGAGCTGCAGCACGGCTGTGCACTGGAGCTGCAGCACAGCTCTGCACTGGAGCTGCAGCACAGCTGTGAGCTGGAGCTGCAGCACGGCTCTGTGCTGGAGCCACAGCACAGCTGTGAGCTGGAGCTGCAGCACAGCTGTGCACTGGAGCTGCAGCATGGCTGTGTGCTAGAGCTGCAGCACGGCTGTGCACTGGAGCTGCAGCACAGCTGTGAGCTGGAGGTGCAGCCCAGCTGTGCACAGCTCGTCCCCGGGGCTGGCCGGGGCTACTCCGCTGACCACGGAGCCTCCCGGCACCTCTCCGAGGAGGAGACCGAGTGTGGCACCGAGGGTGCCCGGAGCGGGCACTGCCTCTGGCAGGGAGCCGGACCAGCCCCTCAGGGGCACCCCTGGCTCCGCTTCCCCTCCCGGGAGCCGCAGCTCCAGGGCTGGATCCGCCTGTGAAAGACAACGCACCCCCCGAGCTTCTGTCTGCTCACCTCGGGCTGGGGGAGACCCACGTGTGGGACAGGAACATCTGCTTCCCCCACTTCCATTCTATGGCCCAGCAAAAAAAATGCTGCATGATCCAGACTGGCGGCCAGGCGGCCCGGGAGGTTTCGGTCTATTGCCTGAAACGAAACAGAGTTGGGATCCCGTTGTTCACTTCTGCCTGGAAAGTCCCATTCCTCATCTGAAATAGTCCCATTCCTCATCTGAAATAGTCCCATTCCTCATCTGAAATAGTCCCAACCCTCATCTGAAAACTTCTGTGTGTCTGGCTGAGGACACACAACCCACACAAGAGCAAGGAGAGCTCAAACCTGTGCTTTCCTTGAGACTTTCCCCTGAGTAACTTCTTTGCTGTCTTGTTTTGAAACGTGTTGTTGTAGGAAACACTTGCATTCTACATTTTTTAGTAATTTTTCAGTTCTGTGTGTAATGGAAAATCCCTGGGTGAGTCAACAGCAGGATGGAGCTCCAGTCAGCCCTTGGGGCATCCACAAGCCTGGGATGCCTCTGTGACCGGGACAGGAGCCAAGGAGATGTGGCAGGGGAGCAGAGTTATCACAGGCTCAGCTCCAGGAAATTTCTTAGAGGCACTTTCACTAAAAAAAAAAAAAAAAAAAAAAATAAGAAAAGTTTTTTACACAGGGAAAATGGACTTCATTTTCTATCCCCCATTAAAGGATATGTAAAGCTGAGTGTAGTAAATGGTGTTTAAAAGGAAGCAGCATCCAAATTATTAAAATTGCCCTTGGATTTTCTGTAAATACTGAATAATTTTCAACTGTAATTATCATTCAACACTCCAAAGATTGACACAATTATAATTAATAATTAGATGGGAAGTAATTATATGGTTCTTACTGCTATATAAATTATACCATTACTGAGAAATATGCACACGATGAGATATAAGGTAAGCATGCATTTTTTGCTAAGAAGATGACAGTAAATATGTGTTTTGCTAAAATGTGAGAATTCTTTTGCAGTTCAGCAAGATTTTCAATATTCTCAGTATACTATACCCAAAAGAACAAAAACTCACCATTTTGCATTGTAGAAGGTAAAGGCTCTATCTCACATTTGTGTTTTTACCAGAGAGAACTGCTCCTCTCTATAAAGTATTCATTTGAACAGTTTTGTGGCATGCAAAGCACCCTGCAAGGAGAGAAAGGACTCTCTGCCCCACCTGTGAGGGGCAGAGATGCACAGAAGTGCCGCAGTCAGGTTTAGTGGCGGGGAGGCAGCAGAGAGGGAGCCCGGGGTGGCTGTGCAGAATGGGCCTGGCCTGCAGGGCCTGGCTGGGGCAATCTAATGAACCCACAGTACAAGGAAAGTGGGATTTTTTCCCATGACCAAGCTGCAGGCTCTTCTGCAGACAGGCACAGAGTGCTTTTCACACATGGCAGACAAGTCCCTGCCCCGTTACTGATGCTCTGTAGCTGTGGTTTACAAAACAAGCTGACTTTAAGTAGACTTCTGATGAGAATGGGAGATTTACACATTACCTCATGTTAGCAATGCATTGGTAAAATTGTAAAAACGAATCCAAGTCTTTCTTTCTTCCTTCAGTAACAGTGAACTGTCCCTGAGGCTGTGCTCTGGGTTTGGCAGCATTTCTTACACACCTCTCCCTGCTCCCTCTGGTGGTGTGGAATAAACGCCATAAAATTCTCTCATCCTGTTATCACAGAATATCCAAATAATCCGAGCTGCTGTCACATGGATATGGGAGCCAGCCAAAACATCCACATCCACACTGTAGCATTTTTCTGAGTTATTACCACTGAATACTTGGGTTTTGTGATTCATAACAAACATATATAATTTTAAAACAAGCTGTGAATTGGAGGCAGAGTGTGCTTCCTTCTGTGACATTTTAGCACCATCACTTGCAGGAGTGGTTTAGCATTTTCTGCTCTTGTTAAGCTTTTTAACTGATTGATATCCAATAAAGCTTGGGGGGTGGGGGGGGAAGCTTATAAATCCAAACAGACAGCGCTAGAAAGGAAAAAATTAGCTGTAAAACACTACAGAGAGTTTGCAGCTGTGAAGCTGCTCCAACAGCTTCCAGTGCTGCTACTGCAAGTGTTGAAATTCCTTGTAATGATTCAGTAAGAACATGCTTTCATTTCATGAAAATATTGCAGATCTTGGGTAAATCTCAGCAAAGTTGGCAGTGATGTTGCTCTTGAGAAATTCATCTCCTGCTATCAGATATTATCCTAAACCCTTGCATAATTCTAATACCAGTGCTAAAACCCAGGTTTAACACAGGCATTTGCTTTATTACATAGGTAAAATCAGAAAGAAAATTGGACATGCTGTTTCTTGCTACATGATAACAACCCTTGTATTTCTGTAGTCATCTCTTCTGCTTCAATTTTTAGTATATTGATCTTATACTGAACTTTTAGTAAAGAACACACACGTGTTTGGATTGGCTTCTGTGCTTTTTATTTTACGTCTCTGGGACCAGCCACGACTGAGCAACTGCTGAGGAAGCAACTTTGTGCTTCAATCACTTACATTTGGATTTTACCTTTGCCAGAGGCCACAGGAGTAAGCACTGGAGCAGTCAGGTCCCTCCTGCTCTGGGGGACAAGTCAGTGTCCAAGCTCCAGAAGGGCAGAATCAAATTACTGAAGGCAAGACACTGAAAATGGCAACATATCACCAAGGGAAAAGATGAAAAGCCAGGAAATAATATGCCAATCATCCCAGAAATATTCAAATAGATCAATTTTTAGCAGAGCAAGGTGAGTAAAGATATATTTCCTGAATGGAAACTACATCCAACTGATCTAAATGGTCTTGGTACAGTCTGACAAATTATTCCCCTCTTTAAACTACAGAAATAATTTCTATGTGAAATTATGATTATAGACTTCTGTGAATTAAAATAATAATCATCATATGAGAGAATATTTCTGAATTTGTGAAGTCACACAGGTGCACCAACATCACGGTGACCACAGGTGGTGACTCAAAAATGCAGATACCAAAAGTCAAGGTTAGAAAAGCACCTGGACCACAGGTGTGTTTTCCAGCTGCTCCATTTAACCCGGGTGCAGGGCACTTGTCACCCCCACAGCAGACACAAACCTCTTCCAGCTGGAAACATAACCACCAACACAGAAGCTATACCATTTGTGACCAAAGAGTGCTGATACCTCTGTTAAAATGCACAAATAGTGCAAACTTTTGATGACTAGGGAGCTTTCGATGGGTTACCAGCAGCTCCTTGCTTTGAGCAAACCAAGTTAAAGTACAGAAACACCACCCTGCAGTGTGAGAATTGGCACTGCACACGGGGGAGCACTGACAGCCCGGGACATTCCCACACTCTCCCGTCCCCTCAGTGCCCCTGGCGCGACATGCAAAACCCAGCCCAACCCAGCTCAGCCAAACCCAGCCCAGCTCAGCTAAACCCAGCCCAGCTCAGCCAAACCCAGCCCAGCCCAGCTCAGCCAAACCCAGCCCAGCTCAGCTAAACCCAGCTAAGCCAAGCCAAACCCAACCCAACCCAGCCAAGCCAAGCCAAACCCAACCCAGCCAAGCCAAGCCAAGCCAAACCAAGCCAAACCCAACCCAGCCCACCCCAGCCAAACCAAACCCAACCCAGCCAAGCCAAACCCAACCCAGCCAAACCCAACCCAACCCAGCCAAACACAATCCAACCCAGCCAAACACAATCCAACCCAGCCAAACACAACCCAGCCCAATCCAACTCAGCTAAACCAACCCAACCCAACCCAACCCAGCCCAGCCAAACCAAACCCAACCCAGCCAAGCCAAACCCAGCCCAACCCAGCCAAACACAACCCAGCCCAGCTCAGCTAAACCCAGCTAAGCCAAGCCAAACCCAACCCAACCCAGCCAAGCCAACCCAACCCAGCCAAACCCAACCCAACCCAACCCAACTCAGCTAAACCCAGCTAAGCCAAGCCAAACCCAACCCAGCCAAGCCAAACCCAGCCCAGCCTAGCCCAGCCCAACCCAGCCCAGCCAAACACAACCCAACCCCAGCCAAGCCAAACCAAACCTGACCCAGCCAAGCCAAGCCAAGCCAAACACAACCCAGCCCAGCCCAACTCAGCCAAACCAAACCAAACCAAACCAAACCAAACCAAACCCAAACCCAGCCCAGCCCAGCCCAGCCCAGCCCAACCCGTCCCGCCCCGCGCCGCTTTCACTTTCACTTTCGCTTGGCGGGGTTCCGCCCCCCGGCCTGACTGACAGGCGGGCGCACCAATGGCAGGCGGGCGCGCGGTGGCGCGGGCCAATGGCGGCGCGGGGCGGCGCGGCGGGCCGGGGCCATGGCGGAGCGGGCGCTGCGGCGGGAGTACGAGTCGCGGCTGGCGGCGCAGGGGCAGCCGGCGGCCTGCGCCGACCCCGCGCTCAAGGCCCGGGCGCGGCGGCTGCTGGGCGCGGGGCGCCGCGGGGCCCTGGACGTGCGCGCCGTGGCCGAGCGCTGCCGGCGGGCGCGGGGCGGCCGCGCCCTGCGCGACCTGCTCAAGGCGCTGGAGCTGCTGGAGCTGCTCTGCGTCAACCTCCTGCTGTGCCCCTGGCGCCGGGAGATCCGCTCCCTCAAGGTACGGCACCGCCGGCCCGGCTACAGCGCCGCTTCCCCGGGCCGGGCTCGGCAGCGGCGCCGAGAGCTGGGAGCGGGGCCGGGGCACGGAGCGGGGCCGGGCACATCCAGCCCGGGACAGGGAGCGGGGCCAGGGCATATCCAGCCCGGGATAGGGAGCGGGGCCAGGGCACATCCAACCCGGGATAGGGAGCGGGGCCGGGGCACATCCAGCCCGGGATAGGGAGCGGGGCCGGGGCACTTCGGGCTCGGGGCAGGGCACATCCAGCTCGGGGCACGGAGCGGGGCCGGGGCACATCCAGCCCGGGATAGGGAACGGGGGCAGGGCACATCCAGCCCGGGATAGGGAGCGGGGCCAGGGCACTTGGAGCTCGGGGCAGGGCACATCCGGCTCGGGGCAGGGTGCCCGGCACGCTGCAGGGCTGCTCTGAGCTGTTCATTGGCCTTCACAGGCCCTGTCCTTGCTGAGGCCCTCAGTGCTGAGCAGCTCCGGGGGTTGGGACAGACGGCAGGGAAGGTAACAGCTACTCGGAAAGGCTTTGCTTTCATCGCTGAAAGCTGTGAGCAGAACCTGTCTGTGAGCACAGATGTTTTCAGCCGTGGCTGTCTGCAGTGGCCTGGTGCCAAAGGCCAGGGAGCTGATCCCAGCTGGTCCCTGATCCCAGCTCAGAGCCTGTAGTTGCTGGAGCCGCACGGACAGCCCCTTGCAAAGAGGAAACACTGCTGGGTTTGCAGCAGGGTGGCCACGGTTACCCCGCTTCCCCAGCACACTGAGCACATCTCATTGCCCAGAGACACAGCCGTCTTCACACATCCCAGATTTAAACAGACTCCCCAAATACCCAAATGCAGATTTATTGCCCTTGCTTTGACAACAAGTGCTGGTGATTCTTTGATTCTTCCTGCACTTAGGCCTCACCCGTGGATTTTCAAACAGCTGAAAATTCCTGTTCTTCTCACTCATCTCCCTAAAACAGGGCAAAGCATAAGATAGGTCTACACTTAATGGTTTCAGCTTTTCCTAACACAAGAATCCTAGGCTGCATTAAAATTAAACTTTGAAGACCACTGTGGGCAACCCAAAGTGTAAGACAGCCTGCTGCAGGCCTGAAATAATTGGAGAACAAGTTGGAGAACAACAGTACCTTGTGCATGTAAGATTTGATTAAAAGCTACTGAATACATGAAATAGTATTTCCCATGTCCTGCCTCTCACCTGCTCTGATGTTCCTGCAGTGCCTGCAGCTGCCCCACCTCCAGAAGGAACAGAAGGTGAGGAGTGCAGGACGCTGTTAACAGATTTCTTTGAGAATTATACTGTGGCCATTCTGGGGGTTAATTTTGTTCTCCTGAGCCTCCTGCTTGTGACACCGATGCTCAGGGATCAGCCTTGGTCTGGCCCAAGCTGGGCAGCTTGAAAACAAGGTACCCCACTCCTGGAAATCCTGACTTTGGGTTCTCACCTCTGCTCTGTTGTGACTTGTGAGGAGTTGGTCATGCCCAGCTCAGAATAGTCTCTCCTATCACAGGGTTTCAGACAAAACCAAAAACCACTTCCATGTTACAAACTAGGTCTCGTGCCTGGGGTTGCTCTAAAACCAAGCAAACATCGAACAGTTTAAGTTCTGCACAGCAGCAGCACAAAGAGAGGTGTTTGGACAATAATTCTATTAGAATAGTCTCTCCTCAGAAAGATGCATTTAAAAAATGGCAGTTTAATTCCAGGGTAGTAAAGTTCACCGCAGGAGCTTGAACCATGGAAAAAGAAAATGTTACAGACTTGTCCCCAGTTCAGAAATGGGATTCACAGTGAGTGCATCATTTCTTTTTCTTCAAGAAAAGACCTCAGTGATTCATTCTATAATCTGTGTTTGCTTCAAAAGCTTAGGTTCAATAGAATACAAAAGGTTTATTTCTGAGTTTCTCTAGTTTGACTAAAATTACTTCCTTACTCTCTTCCTTTTTTTTGAATACTGGTACTCTCAGCCAAGACCCCAGCGGGTTTGAACTGGCACAGCTTCACTGGAACTGATGTGCTGTAGCAAAGCCACAATGCTCGAGAGGCTGCCAAAACAGTGCTGTTAGAAGAGCCTCACTCACTGCAGTTCAAAACTCAGGCTTGTAGAACATGGCTGTTTTAAAGCTGTAAGCAAGTTTTGAAGTATTTTTGATCTTTAGGAAATCAGCTGTTTCACACTTCCCTGCACCCTTTCCCCCAGTGTTCACCAGCTTTTCCATGTTGTGTTATGTTCCAGACCTTCACTGGGAATTTTGTCTACTACATCCAGCCAGTGCTGCCGGAGGACATTGTGAAAGAACTCCTGGAGAAAATAGGTTATGTTGCAACTACAGCAACAGAGTTTTCACTTGTCAAAAAGAGAAACAATGAGGAGACAAAGCAGACTGCATTTGAGATATTCCTGGCAAGAATCGAGTGTGAAGCCATCCTCGAGATGACAAATGAAGAAACACGTGGCAGTTTGGAGATGAGCCTGCAGCAGGGCACACAGACACATCAGCATCGAGGAGAGGAGGATGAGGAACATCAGACACCCCAGAGAGGAGACACTGAAAGTCTGGGAAATGAAGGGAGCAGTGAGACACCTTTGTGCCTTGTCCCGCAGCAGGAGCATTCAGCTACCTGTGCTGCATCCTTTGAAGCTGCTGGGAGTGCAAGGATCAAAGGGGACGTGGCTCAGTCAGCAGCTGCTGCATCCCCCAGCAGCCTCCAGGCGCCTCTCCCGGGCAAGGGCTCAGACAGCGAGGACTTCCTGATCAAATACAGCGACATTGTCATAGCACAAACACCAATCTTCAGCGAGAGTCCCTCTCCAAAGGCTTTGGAGAAGGAGCCAAGAGCCAGGCCGAGTGAGGAGTGGGCCTTGGCAGGGGCTGCAGAGCTGGCTGCACGAGCCCTGGCGCCTGCGCCTCTGTCCCCGGGAGCCAGCGGCCCCCCAGCCTTTGCCATGTTTGCTGACAGCTCCTGTGACAGCAAAACCACCTTGGAGTTTGAAGCTCCAGGAGTCCCAGCAGGATCAATTGAAGCAGAAATTAATGATGCCATAAATTGCATAGACCCAGCCCCTGGTGATGAACCCACTGAGCTGAAGTCTCTGCCCTACAAGGACTTTTCCTCTGCCCAAAACTGCTGCATCCCCAGGGAAGAGGACAATTGTGAGATGTCTTTAACCTTCACAGAACTACAAATCAAGGATGCTCAGGAAGAACTTATGTATCCAGTAGAGGAAAGTGGCCAGCCTGAGGCAGTGACCTATGCAGGAAGAAGTGACAGGCACATTAACGAATTTAATCACTCCCAAATAAAACATACATACCTGACTGATGCCGAGGTGCACAAGAGAGCAGCGTCACACCCTGAGCCACCTTCAGGTCTGTGCTGTACTGCTGGGCACACAGAGGATTCCACAGCTGGTTCTGACAGCAAGAGACTGTTTGTGGATCCTGCTAAGGGACACCCAGCTCCTGAGTGCTTCAGGCATGTCAGAGAGCCCCCCAACCTCACTTACATCCCCCCCAAAAGCATTGATGTGCCGCCCTCACACGGGGGCAGGAGCAGCCTGGGGCAGCCTGCAGGGGACTCTGCTGGAGGCAGGGAAGGGAAGCTGGAGCACTGCAATTCCCAAGAGACTGACAGCCAGGAGCCTTATGTCATCATTGACAGAACCGACCAGGCAGGGCTGTGCCACCACCCCTGAGTCTGGAGTGCTTTATCTGTCATGGCCTGGGGGGGACTGTCCTCTCACCTGTGGCCTTGATCCTGTTGCCAGGGAGATGATTAGCTCTGTCACGGCAGATCTAAACCCCAAACCACATCACTGCTTTGGGACAGTAAATAGTTACACAAATTCCTAATGGTTCCTCTCACAAGGAAACCTGAATGGTCACCTTTTTAAAGGGTAGGCAAACTTCTATAAATTTATATCCATTTAATTAATCAGTCAGATTCCTTCTGGCTGTTCTTAATGCCAGACAGGTTTCTTCAGCTGGGCATCCTACTTCTCTTTTTTACCTTCACAGACCTATTCCTGGAATACTCTTCCAGTACAAGGTAAATTCTTCTAAACTGGAAGAAATGCCATACTGGACTGTACTTTTGTTAACTCTGCATTCCTGTCAAGCTGTGTCTGAGCTAATCTTCCTCCTGACTTCAGCTGAAAACAGGTTTAGAAAGTTTGATAACATTCCTTTAGCTTTAAAGAGGGAAAGAGATATGTGAACATTTGGTTTTGTAGAGGCATTAACCTGTGTTATAGGTTTTATATCTAATCAATATATAACCATTTGTTACCAAAGTATTTTGTGGCCACCACCACAATCTCCATGAGAAGCCTTTGAGCACTGTAACTGTTCAGTGCCACCAGCAGAGAGAGGTCCAGCTGCAGCTGCCATTTCCCTTGCCCCTGCTCCTGACAGTTAATTCTGCACAGAATTTTTCTGCATGCCAGTTAATCTCATAAAATGAAGAGAAAAAAAGTCTCATTCTTCACCATTTTAATGGCAGGAGAAAAAATCTGCTCAGAAAAGGATCCCAGTGAGCAGCAGAGGCAGGGATATCCTGCAGGTGGGAGTGCTGTGTGGAAAGCTGTGTTGGATCAGCTGGAAGCTGGGGTCCCAGCACTGAGAGCCTGTGACACACAGCTCTGAATTCATTTAGGAAAGCACACTGCTGCTGTGCTCAGGCACAGTCTCCAGTGCTTCTTTATACAAGTACCTCCAGAGGGTGTCAGAGGGTGATGCCCAGCAGCAGGACAAGGAGCAGTTTTCCTAAACTAAAACACAAAAGATTTCATCCCAACATGAGGAAGAACTCGTTTGCCTGGAGGGGGCAGAGCCCTGGAGCAGTTGCCCAGGGAGCTGTGGAGTCTCCCTCTCTGGGGCAATCCAAACCTACCTGGACACACTCCTGTGTCACCTGCTCCAGGTGACCCTGCCTGGGCAGAGCTTGGACTGGGTGACCTCCACAGGCCCCTTCCAACCCTACAAATTCTGTGACTCTATGATACACTTGTTACCTAGAAAGACACTTTAATACTGCTTCAAGTAGCTTTTTCAGTAGCACTGAAATGTGTGCTGGTTTGGGCTGGGGTAGAGTTAATTTTCTTTACAGTGGTTAATATGGAGCTTAGTTCTAAATGCTAAAAAATGCCTTTCATACAGAGTTAAAACATATTAGCTGAAACTAATTTTGTATTAATTGTTTATAATTGACTTTCATCCCAGAAAAAAATCGGAGGAGCACACATGGATTAGACTAGAAAAACCTCAGGAACTAAAATATAAAAATTTGCTTTTTGAAGACCTAATGGTTGAAATTCTGTCATCCCCTGATTCCATCAGTGTAAGAGAAACAGAATTTGCCCAAGGTAACAGCAAGGGACAGGACTGCCTTCAGCTCTGGGTGGGCTTGTGAGAAATGGGTGTTAGGAACAAAAAGCCTTCACAGGGCCGTGTCCTGACCAGTAACAGTGGCATCCTGTAATAAGATTCTCTGACATTTTCTGTGCTGTGCAAAATGTATGTCCATAGTGAAATTAGAATTAAGAACAAACTACAGATGACTGAGCTACAAACATACAGAACCATTTCCAAATAAATTGTTCTTTTGGACTCTTAGAGAAGAAAAAGTTTTGAAAGTCTCAAGAATATCTGGTGTCCCCCTACAAAGAAGCTGCAGTAAGCCTTGCTTTTAAGCTGGAATTCTAAAGATTTACAAGAGAGTGGCAGAATGGCATTCCTGCAATCACAAGTTTTAGTACTAGCTTAGTACTTCACTAGGAAATGCTCTCTCTGTGCACTTTCTATTCTTAAATTGCAGTGATTTAGAAAACAAACAGCTGATCAGAATAACTGGAATATCAGAATAAGTTGCAGTTCCTGACTGAGAGTTCTTTAAGTGCAATGGGTTTTAGGCAAACCACAACCCTTCAAAAGCACCACCATCAGATATTGTTGAAAAGCCACATAACTGTTTCTGTCCTGCACTAAGTGCCTGACAAATGTCTGTATAAAGTGATCAAAGTGCTAATGAAGCTTTGCTTGTTCCAGCTAAACCAACCAAAACCATCAGGGGAAAAACAAATTCTGTACTTCTGGGATCATTCCTCTAAAATTACCCAGAAAATCCATGGGAGAGCAGTCTGAGTGCTGCAGTGAAAGGATTGCCCTGAAGGCAACACCCAGAGGGTAAGGCACAAGTGAAGGGCAACTCTGCACTTGTTTTGACAAGTCCAGGAATGAAACCCCACTGGTTTTCTCTACTCTCCAAGTACTTTCAGGTCATAATAAATTGATTGTGACATAAACCCAAAAAACCACATGTGTTTTTCTTTATAAAAAGAGGTAAAATCAAAGAATGCAAACCAGTTAAGAAATCAATTAAATCTAGGGTGTTTTTAGAAACATTTGAAAATAATAACAAACACAGTCCCGTGCACCCTGTATTTTCACTATTTCTGCTTAGTCAGAATAGGACTGGGGTCTTCATGAACTAAAATAAGCTCTCTATAAAAAGCTAGCTGAAAAAAACCTCATGGCATTTCTGCAGGCACTTATAAAAACTGTGGGTTTTTTAAAAATTTTTTTGCACCGAATTCAGTGGGATTACCAGTGCACAGTTCTTTCAGAACTAAGCTACATTGTGATGTCCCATAGAGAGAAAGAACTTCCTGAATTTAATGAAGTTGCATTAATGTGGGCAGGATTAGAGCAAAACACCATTTCAAACTGATAAGATGTGCTTAACAAAGCTACTTTAACTTGATGCACTTCATTTGCTGCCTCCAATAATAAAATAATGACCATCCCACCTCTGGCATGAAATGTGTAAAGCCTGGGCAGGAAGGAGTCGATGCCTCAGGCACCTGGTGGCCACTCAGGATGTGCCTGGAAAGGGGAACAAGGAGCAGAGGGTAGGGCAGCACCTTCCTGGAGCCAGATTCCTGCTCAGGTCCACGGTGCCCACACAGCACAGGAGCACGAGTGGGCAAGAGCCCGAGGGGCACTGAGAGCACCCGGCCTCGGAATGCCCCTGACTCCTGCCAGGGAGGCTGCACCCAAGGGCCCTGCATGGCCCTCAGTGGTGGAGCTGACAGGAGGAATCCTTTCCCTGGGGAGGGATACAGCTGCTCCCATGCTAAATGGAATATCTGCAAGCCTCTGAACCTTTTGTTTGCTGGGTACCACCCCAAGGGATCAAGACTGAACATTGGTCTGACCCTGGACATCAAAATTCCAACAATCCAGCCTCACTGCTGTGAGATCTCTCCACTACCTACTCTTACCCTCACCTTCCGTACTTTGTGGTATTTTGTACCTGAATAGAAAAGAACACAAAGAACTGCACCCCGCCTTTCTACTGCAATTCAATTGTTTGAAAGTCCCAGAATTACCCTGGAGGCCTTTGGGTGCGGCTGTAGAGCAGCGCTGTGACCCAGCCCGTGCCACCCCTGCCCCCGGAGCTGCAGTGCAGGGCCTGGCCCTGCCCCTGTGACCCCCCAGCACACCCACCCAGCCTGGCCAGGGCCCTCGGCACAGCCTTCCACTCCTACCCCTCAGTGCCCTCCCTCCTCCAGACCACCAGAAAAGGTTAAACAGGGCTGTTCCCAGCATGGATCCCAGGGGATCCATTCCCGCTGCCCTGGGCTCAGCCATCAGGCAGTCCCATGCCAGCCAAGCTGGGGCTGCAGCTTCTCCAGGAGATGCCACGGGAGAGGGCCTCAAAGGCTCTGCTAAATTCCAGGGACACACATCCACAGCCTCTCCCTCACCCACCAGAGGGGCACATGGCTGGGGAAGATGATGTGGGCCAGGCAGGACCTGCCCCTCCTAAACCCAGACTGGTGGGGCTGATCCCGTGGTGATCCCATCTGTGCCCTGTGCTCACACCGAGGATGCTCTGCTGGGCCCAGGGCCAGGCTGACAGCTCTGTCATAAACAAACCTCCCTGTACACACACACTGGCCATTTGGTGGTGTTTCACCCCAATTCACCCCAAGGGGGTCATTAAGAGAAACCTGAGGTACCCCCCCTCAGAGGGATGTTGTAATAAACTGTTTATTTCAAATTACAAAAACAGGGTTGTCTTTGGGGGAAAAAAAATAAGAAAGTAAAGTCACTTCTAGGAAGCAGCAGTGAAGTGGGAAATGAGGGAAACAGCCATATTTTAGTTAAACAGAACTAACACAGTAAACTGATGGAAAACCTAAAAACACAAAGGGAATTGGTTCACATTCTGTTCCTGATTGGTATCTGATCATTTCAGAGCTGTAAGTCCACAGTGTTCTACAAAGCATAGTGCAAAAACAATACCCATTATATTTAAATATTTAAAATACTAACTCAGACTTCAGCAGATGATTTCTGATACAACAGTCACAGGCTTCTATAAACAGCGTTGTCTGTTAGCTGGGTTCAGTATTTGGTCCCGGTTTTCTTCATATTTCTCTACCATTTTCTGCATGTCATGGTCAGCTCCAATAACCTTGGAGAGAAGATGAACACTGGCAATAACTGACACTATAAAACTTGGTTTCTTTGGAGCAAAACAGGACTACCAGTGCAGCCAAACTGGGACACTCCTAGGGATCTGCCCAAGCTGCTTTCTGCTGAGAATTTGGCATTCCCTGAAAAGCTCCACAGGTGATCCTGCAAGCAATCCCAGTGAACAGCCCCTCAAATTCCACTGCAGAGATGGCAGACCCCACTTTTGTGCTATACACCAACAGCTACCATGTTTGTCAGAGGTTGTCCTTCTCCAAAGGTTATCAGAAAAGCAGATTTATTTACTTTAACCACTAAACAATGCTCCTATTATTTGGAAAGCACAATCCCCCACATGCCTGACTGGTTATAATAAAAATAATACTCACAAGTACTGGGCAGGAAACTTCAAACAGTGCACGTTTAATGAGCCACTCTTCATAGAGCTCATGAATAGCTTCTAAATATTCCTAGAAAAAAGGCACTAGAATAACACAAATGCCCAGGGATGACACACACATTGCAATATTTATCCATTTGGGCAGTAGTTAAGAGACACATATAAAAGCCTGCAACACATATCTTCCACTAACAAAATATAAAAAGCATAAGAAGGTTTTTGAGAAAAATTAATTCCCAGTACAAAGTTTTAACTCCAGGAAGACCTCAAAGACACAGCTTACAGAAGAACAGGTCTCTAAGCTCCTTTTAAGATCAAGCAACCATGATTCTCTCCCACAGGTAAAATGTGGTTCAAGATTTTACAGAGAAAAATACAACAAAGTAAGGACAAAAAGGGCAAGGCTGCAAAGAATAAGAATGGGAGGCACTTTCTGTGTCAGTACATTTCCCTAGAATTCCCAGTTCACTTTCTTGTAACTCAATTTCATCTAAAAGCTCTTCTGCCTGTCATGAACTGGCTTTTTTCTTCATGGAGACCACTTCACATTGCTCAATGGTAACTGCTCCCCTCCTCTTCAGCAGAGCTGCAAAATAACACAAGGGCTCTTCAAATCCATCACAGGAGGATTTAGTCTCAAAATTTCACATGGCCCAAAATTTAGCTCTTTGCACAGATCTTCAACTGCCAATGAGAAGATTACCAGTTGATGAATGCTGCACCTGAAGTCAGCTACAGTGCCCTGATTACTACAGCAGAACACCTGGAGAGTCAGTGTGCATGACAGATCATTTTTTTAAAGTAAGTCAAAATTCAGTATTGAGGGTTTAGTTTGCAGTGGAAACAGCTGCACCACATTCTGGCAATATATTCAGGAAACAATTTCAGTATTTAGACTGGAATTGTTCTATTTTCAAAGCTCCTTGTAAGCACATAAATCAGAGGAACTCCTTACCAGAGGAATGACTTTTTCCTCTTCCCTGCACCGTGTCTTTAGCCTCTCATAACAAACTTTAGGAGATGTCTGCAAATAAACTGCAGGAATAAAAATGTTAATAGTTATGTTCAAGGATCAGCTTTAAAAGCAAATAAGAAACTCACTTCACAAACTATAGAAGGGAAGGATCCTGGCTTGGGTACCACCACTGGACCTCCCCTTTGGCACTACCCAACCCATGAACCACCCACAAACCCAAGCTGTCTGATGGTGGTCACTTTTATACTGAATAATGTGATTATTTATGAGCCACGAAACAAGAATTTTTTTTTCTCCCAGAAAGGAAACCCACCCACAAACACAGCCCTCCAGACACATCAAGATGTTACCTATCAAATCAACTGAAACATCAGTGTTGTTCTGGATCCAGTCAAACCACTCACTTAGGACAGCATAATCCACCTCTGGCATTTTTCCACTGAACAAACAAACACAAGAGGCATCACTCACTGAGCAGCGTGCAAAGAGAGACCAACTCCAAACTCTCATTTTGCCCCCATTGACTCCAACATTTGTGAAAAGAAGGCCAACATATGCCCATGCAAATTGAAGGCCACATAAACCATTGTTTATTTTATAGAAAGACCAAATCTTTTCCCTTTTTTTTTTTTTTTAAGTACTCAATGGTATTTACTGCTCAGGTTCTCTGTATCAGCATCAGTTCAAACCTGTCCCAGGGCATGTCACCACAAGGGCTGGATTTACTGAGCAGCACCAACAATTCTTTACAGAAGCCACAGTAAAAGGCAGCAAAAATATAATGTCAATGTGTCAATAAATTTACTCCCACTGTAAAAAATATTTGTGAAGAGAGTAGTGAAATATTCCATATGCTTAACTCTAAACTCAAGAGCACAGAATGTTGGAAACAAATGTCCCAAAGTTATCTCAGCAACAATAAAGTATCAGAGAACTAAAGTAAAAGGGAGTAACTGAGGACATATTAGGAATCACATAATAGTGTATCCATTTTCACTTATTACCATATTCCTGATTGTCAAATATTACTAATTTTACAGTATCCTCTCTTCAAAACTGGTGACAGTAACACACACCCCATATTCTTTCCTAAACGCTTCTGCAATAGTAAAAATGTTAAGGAGATGGAGTTGGGAGGCTCCTGTGCCCTCTAGCTGAACGTTAGGCCATTTTAAATAGGACTGAAAAAAAAAGGGGTAACACTGGTCACTGCTGCTCTTCTTGATAATCACATCAATTCTGGGGAGCAGGGATCTACATCAGCCAAACTCTGACTGAGCTACTTTTCTCCAGGACAGATGGAGGAAACAGGAAGGCTGAAAGGAACTGGAAATAAGAAAAGCTCCACTGTTCTTACTCTAAAAGACAAACACATCCAAGTCAATTCTGCACTGGCCTGCCCTATGGACAGCACATCTTTGCTTTCCCTGGGTAATCCTGGGAGGACTCTGGCTCAAGATCCATAAAGATACAGGGCATATAAAAAGCACAAAAAGGTGTTTACATTTCCTAAGTTTGCTGGCATTTGGCTGCTACCAAGTCAGGCTTTTACTGCCTAAGTCCAACATGAGCAGAGCGAGTTTCTATCCAGGGATGGACTCAGAGGGATGTGAACTGCAGTGCTCACCTACAGCACACCCTGCACACCCACGTGCACACACTTCAGACTCACCTAACACAGCCAGACAGACTCATTTTTTAATGTGCCACAAAACAGCTACTTTCACACATTCCTCAATTATTCCTTGCTTTATTTATAATCCTTTTACACGTCCTTTTCTCTTTTTCTTTTGACTTGCTGTTGGTACTATCAGTTGCCTTCTAGCTTGCTGTAACAAAACAAAGCAAATGCTTTTTTTTCAACATTTAAAAATTACTGAAGCCACAAAACATCTTAGGTGTCCTTAAAATTGTTATTATTAACTCACAGTGTTGGCACGAACAGATTTAGCCTCAGGCAACTAAGTCTTTGGGAAAAAAAAGCAGTTTGTCTAGAATGACAAAAGAAGCCAGTAACTAAACAAGAGGATATGCTGAGGATATTCCAGACTGTTTGCACTGTGTGAGGACTGGGATGAATAATAACTTCCAAAGGCTTTCCCGTGGCAGAGAGGTGCTCATGCAGCATGGATGACACCCTGTGGCACAAACTGGATTTGTCCCTCAAGGCCCCTGAAAAACCCAGCAAAACCCATCTGTCACATTCACTCCTGGACAGAAGGCCAGTATTCCAAACAAACAAAACCCTGATCCCTGCACTGTTTCAGTTACTTTGGGAAGGGGAGTTATCCCTAGGGCAGTGAGGTGTCACTGCTGTAATTGCTCTTTCTTTACTCACAGCCTACCAAGGCTTACAATCTATTTTGATCCTGCCAATCCTGATTCTGAGCAAAAGCACAGGACTTGAGACCCTGCTTGCAAGAAATGCAATCCTGGATACCAGGCTGGATAACAGTGCCCCAGTCCTCTCCCTCCTACAGTCTTATTCTATCTTTGTGGCTTTTTACCTGTCCAGCATGTGTTTGATTCAAGCAAGATTTGGGTATTCAGCTGGAGAGCAGATAACTTCAATAGGTGGTGTCTAAATAATACTGAGTGCTACATTCTCAGAAGCACTGCTGAAAAAGGTTTTCCAGAGTCCTACAGGAAATGGGCAGCACAGCCCATACCAACGCAGAACTGCAGATTTCACAGGCCCCTTAAAGGCAGCACATTACCAAAGAAATTATCATTTGATTAGATATATATTTAAAATAATGAATCCAAGAAAGTAAAGCAGAAAACCATATCCCATACCTTCGATAGAGGTTTTCCACAAAAACATGTTTTGCACTGTGAATCGACCGCTCCATCATCCTTATGGGGGAAATCTGCAACAAAAAACTTCACTCGTGTCATTTTCATGTTCGTTTCTTTTCACACTCATATGGCACATATGAAACACCATTTTCAAATCTCGTGAGAAACAAACTTATTGGGAGGGTGGGAACCACAAAGCAAACAAGAACTCTCCATCTTACTCTGATTAGTTATTCAGACACCAGTTCAAAGCCAAGTGCTCAGCATTCAGCTGAGCAGTGGAAAGTAACTCAGGGTACAAAAAAGCAGCAATCCATTTGGGATCTGCTGGACAATGGGAATTATTGCTCCCCCAAGTGCTGCCACATCCCATGCACTGCTGGGTCACAGCACAGGGCTGACATCAGACACACTCAAGAAAGGAAGCAGGACTTTTAAAAGAAGGAACATGTGCAGCCAGTCCTGCACATGTTCCACCAGCACTTCATGCTGGAGCTGGAAATCCCCTGACACCCCTGGGCCTGGCAGAGCAACTTCTCACCCAGGTTTCTGCACATTAACGAAGCAAAAACGGCTCCAGCAAGGCTCAAAGGACAAAACAGCTCAGATTGAAATAGAGGGAAATTATCAGGAATTCTTAAATGAACTTCTTCTCCAACAGAACAGGATTTCTATTTCCTTGGAAAAACACCTCTTCCAAAAACATAATGATTGTATGTGTCACTTTCGTATTTGGCACTGCCAAAAGTCTGCCCCAACACAAACTCAGAAAACAGGACATAAGAACAATCAGTAAAACATAAGCATGGCATCTAAGACCAGGTCTTGTAATCAGGGAATGGAAGACAGCATAGAATGTAACAAAAGGTGTTTGAAGGAGAAAATAATGGAGAAATCTTAATTAAAAGGTAGGATGTGAAATTTAATATTAAAAAAAACTATGAGAAAAAAAAAGTATGTCAACCACCTGAAAAAGGAATAGAAAATGGTAGTGGAAGTATTTTGCATAAACAGAAGAAGCAATGGCTAAATTTGTACTAGACAGCACAAAGCAGTACTATGAATTTTAACACGAGATTACTTGGTGTTTGCCAAAGATTTGAAATAATGAAATTACAGACAAGTCACTGACATAAAATGAGTCAGAGATTTGTACAAGCCTAGCCTTGGAGGGTGTGCCCAAATAGCACAATCAGTTTGGGGAAGCTGTGAGCAGGCAGGAGGCAGAGGTTTTATCCCCAGAGCACACACTGAGCATTTCAATGTCTGCACCACAGAAACTCCTACTCACTGCAGGAACAAAGAACGAATGCACACAGCATCCTAACTCTTGAACACAAGGTTAAAAGGATTTAGCACACATAATCACATCTAATTACTCTTAAAATTAAAAGAACTTTCCTTACCATGGGCCTGGTGTGCTGCTCCAGCATGGTCAGCTGCACGTAGGTCTGCAGAGTGATCCCCCACCTCGATGCATCCTGGTACATTAAGCCCTGGGGTCAGAGATGGAAGCAGGACAGATGGACATTTGTTAGGACAAACAGCACAACAGCAAGTTGGGTATTTAGGAAGCCCCACAACAGCATGGCTCTAAGAAGTGCACTAAAACATCAGGTTTGACCAAAATGAAGTGATCATTTGCACTCCACAATGGAGATGCAGAATTACAGCCCTGTCCCTACAGACACTGAGTGGGAGGCTGGCTGAAGTCAGCAGGAATTAGTTACTCTGCACATGGAACAGTCATAACCAAGTAATGATAAAAACCCCATCTACTCCTCTATTTGTGTGCCCTGACAGACCCTCAGTACACCCAGTGCATCCAGAAGTCATACAGGGTTCTAAGCATGGTCTGGGCCTCAGAAAAATGTGTCCTTTAACAGAGGCAGCTATTCTTCCCAGAGCATCCTCACAGCAGCTCTCAGGTAGCTGTTCCACCTTCTGATTGCTGCAATTCCACACACACAGAACTTACAAACAACAATCTATCCTGCACAGCAGAAAAAGGATCTCATGCAAAATAAAACATCATTCAGTGTCTGTTGGCTGAGGCGACAAGTTTTAAGCCAGCAGCAAAGCTTCAGCCCACAGGTCTGACCTTCTGCTTTGCTCCCTGCCAAGATCAGACTTTCCCAGGGCTCCAAGGCTGCTGTGGTGTCCTGCAACACGTGCCCCACCCCTTCAGTAACAATCAGAAAGGCATCACCAACTCCTAGGAGGGACAATTTACTGAGGGCCTGTGCTAACACTGATGGTATTTAACTGATGTCAAGGCAAGTATGGCTTGGGGTGTGTCCACGCTGCAGATTGCAGAGCCTTGGCACAGACCCCTGCTCAGCCACAGGGGGTTTCTGCAGAGTGGCTGAGCCCCAAGCACAGGGCTGACAGCAGGGACCACTTCCAGCACCCCAGCAAGGCCAGTGTGCAGCTGCAGCTGGGACCCAGCACATCCTGGGGGGAACACTTCCAAGAAGCCTTGGCCACCCAAAAGACAATGGAAGCCCTCAACTCCTCACTGGGATGAATTTTCCTTACCTGCAGCAGCCACAGGATCACAGATTAATGCAGTCTTAAAGAGCTGGAATGGACCTTAAAGCCCCTCCAGTGCCACCCCTGCCATGAAGGGACACCTCCCACTGTCCCAGGCTGCTCCAGCCCCAGTGTCCAGCCTGGCCTGGGACACTGCCAGGGATCCAGGGGCAGCCACAGCTGCTCTGGGCACCTGTGCCAGGGCCTGCCCACCCTGCCAGGGAACAATTCCTAATTCCCAACATCCCATCCAGCCCTGCCCTCTGGCACTGGGAGCCATTCCCTGTGTCCTGGCACTGCAGTTCCTGAGGAATTGTCCCTCTCTGGGCTCCCTGCAGCCCCTGGAAGGGGCTGTGAGCTCTCCACACAACTTCTCCTGTGCAGGCTGAGCAGCCCCAGCTCTCCCAGCCTGGCTCCACAGGGGAGGTGCTGCAGTCCCCTCAGCACCTCTGAGGCCTCACCTGGATTTGCTCCAACAGTTCCATGTCCTTCTTATACTGGGGGCACCAGAACTCCAGTCCAACAACATTAACTGACCAGATCCAGCCCTCACCTCACCTTGAGTGACATCCTTCCCTTCTCTGAAACAGGCACAAGCACATTTAGAAACAACTGCCACACTCAGGGCTTACCTTCCTGGGAACTGCTTTAACTCACCCCACCGGACACCCAATCCTTGCCAAAACCACATTTTATATGCAGTGTTTCTATTACATGCATGTCTTAATCACAGTAGAAACTCTTTTGCTTCGTGGAGCTTTAGTTTTTGCTGTGTGAGATTTGGATCACACCTTTTGTAGTAGTTTTGCTGACTGATAAAAAGCCATAACACGTCTTGCTAAAAGAACAGTCACTGTAACTGCAGGAATAATTTCTGCCACTTACCAGGATATTATGACCCCGAACATTTCTCCACTTGGCCAACGGTTCCTTCAAAACCTGGTTAAAAATAATTACTCCACGTTAATTAAACACATCTTAGATTCAAGATACTTAATGTGACCGTACAAGTGTACAACTATTTTTAAGGAATACTGTGCAGTAAATCAGAGTATTCAGGACTTGTATTGGTAAGCTCATCACACTCAAAAAACCAGCACTGAATTCTGTAACACAAAAGGTAATAATGAACACGGCTAAAAATAGAGACAAGTCAATATCCAAAGTCTTCTTAGCGTTTTTAAACACTGATAAGATTACTCATAAGCCTGGAGAGAATTTTTTTTTTAGTCAAAATCAGCTGTGTAAGGGAAAGAACAGCTTAGCAGATACTTAGCATTTCAATGACAAGCCCATCCCCTCACAAATTAACTTCTCTGAAAGTAACACTTGCCAGCAAAGGAAGAGGATCAGACTGCTACCACGTTAGTTTTCATTTTATTTTTATGTTCTAACAAACAAAATTTTACAAAATTAATCAGAAAAGCTTCTACCCTGAACAGGTAAAATCACAAGAGACCTGCCTGGTTCAAATAGGGTCTAAATCTGCAATAATACTATAGAGTCAGGCCTAAGAGAATCTCATCAGCCTGGGAACTTAAGAAGCTACTTAAAAATGCTGCACTGTATGCAAATTAAATTCTGTTATCCTCTGGATTAACAGTTAATTACTTCATAAGGACAATTCCTGTTAAATTACCAAATAACATCCAGCAACCCAGCATTTCTATGAGGACTCCTAAAACTTACTGCCAAATGTGTTGCTGGGTCTGTTGGGGAAAGCATTAATACCTGTTGTACAAGAACAATGGCTCACTGAGGTTTGACCTTGATTTTGTTTAAAATGCAAAAAGCCTGCCCTTCCCCTAACCTGTTTCTAAACAACACAAAATCAAATACCAGATGAGTCTAAGAAATCTCCTGAAACAGCTCTAACAGTTTCCTTTTTTAAAAAAACCCATCTGTTCACTGGGATCTCTGTTACATGGCATAGGTATTTTTACATAATATTTACTTTGCTTTTACCAGACCATCTAAGATTTCAGTGACATGAAATGGCAAACAGGCAAGTTCAAACATGCCCATGCTCTGTGGGTTGCTGTTATTTTATAAAGGCACAAACACTGATTCACAGGTTTTATTGGTATTTTGGTATCCAGTACATACCACATGTGATCTACATTTCTCTGCTGCAAATGGACTTCAAAAAGTTGGGGTGGTGCCCCAGCAAGCCCCTGGCTCAGCTCCTGCTGCTCCCTCCTCACGCACCCAAGGACATGTTGGAGCTAAGACAAGCAGCTGCTCAGTGAAGGAAACAAGGACAAAGAAACGTGCATCCAGTACCTCAATGCTGGTAGTTTGTGCAAAATAATCCAGGCATGTTGTTTTTCCACTGGCAATGTTGCCCTCAATACAGATCTGGTGAAAAACAGAGTCACTTTGAGACCCACACTGTGGCAGAGCAGTGACAGTGTGTTAGAAATGCCCCCTGCCCATTCCAACTTGCTAGCTCCCTACGCTGGGAAGAGATTATTTCATGGGGATCTGTTTGGATGTTGTGACTCTCCCAGACCACCGCTTTTTCCCTCCCTGCTACTCCCACAGCCAGCCCCTCTCCTGCTTCCAGCCTCCTTCCCCTTCCCAGGACCCCAGGGGCTCCAGAGGGTCACCTGCTGCTCCTCACTCTCCACAACCCACCTCAGAGACCTGAATCCTGACTTCAAATAAGTCCCAGATGAAGTAATAACTTCAGCATCCATTATATAGATAACTTTAAGGGGGATCACATTTTTATTTTCATAAATCTAAACAACTAAAATAAACGAAGAGAATTTTTTTTTCAACTGTCTTAAAATAATGTATAGTGCAGGGGGGGTTATATAAAGCAATGGCAATGCTACACATGCAACACTGAACCCAAACTGCCACCTGTCCCGACACAAGGCCTCACAATTTTTGCACAGATGTCCCACAATTTTACAAAAATTTTCAGAACTAGACCAGCGTAGCCTTGCACAAAGTATCACCCAGTGACAGACACATCACTACACAGTGACATATCTATGGCCTATGGCTGCCAATACACACACACTCAATTTATAATGGAATTACAATGAAAGAGGCTGCACTTTTTACTTTGTTTTTCTGAACAAAATGCAAATACTTACAATTCTCTTTCCAGCATCTTTTTTTATCAGATGTTTATCTAGAATGGAAATAAACAACAGTTAAAATCAAAGCGGTCTCATAACCTAGTTACACTGAGTCTTACTGTGAGACCCTCCAGGCCAGTTTTAGGCTGCCCATGGCTGAATATGACTATTGTCTAAATTATCAGCCATCAAGGTTTTAGGTAATTATTGGGTCACGTAACAAACACATTGTGGCACCGACTGACACAGATTTAGCTACAGTTCTCCACTGTCCCTGACACTGTCAATAGTCAGAGGGTGAGTGCTCACACTATCACCAGATTTTTGCTACATCTGCTGCACCTCAGTGGGTCTGCAGAGGGGAAAAATGAATTTTGGAAAGACCAGCTGGAGCAGCACCCACTGGCCTCACAGGCCCAGCGGGGTAAGGGTGAGGATTACAGAGCAGCTCCAAAACAAGCACCTTACACTTCAAAACAGCAGTAAAAAACCTATCCAAGCCAAGCTGAGCTTACAAGACCCTTCACCCAGCCAAGCACGGCAGGAAGGCAGGGCGGGCTCGGCAGTCACGCCGGTCAGAGCTCCAGCCTGACCCCGCTCCTGCTGCCCCGGAGCCGCTCCAGACCCTGACCCCGCTCCTGCTGCCCCGGAGCCGCTGCAGACCCTGACCCCGCTCCTGCTGCCCCGGAGCCGCTCCAGACTCTGACCCCGCTCCCGCTGCCCCGGAGCCGCTCCAGCCTGACCCCGCTCCCGCTGCCCCGGAGCCGCTCCAGACCCTGACCCCGCTCCCGCTGCCCCGGAGCCGCTCCAGCGCATCCCGAGGCCCGCAGGAAGGCGGCGCCGGGCCCAGGGGCGGCCGCCCGGCCCAGCCCCGCACTCACGGGCAGCGGCGCTGAGGGGCGCGCCCGCTGAGGGGCCCGGGACTGCCGTGCCCGGGACTGCCGTGCCCGCGCCCCGCCGGCCCCACGCCCAGGCCGCGCCGCGCCGCCACATCGCCCATCCCGCTGCCGCCGGACCGCACCGCACGGCCCCGGCCCGGCCCTTCCGCCGCCGAGCCATCACTTCCTCCGCCCCGGCGCTCTGAGGCGGGGCTGGTTCAGCGCCGGTGCCTGCCCCGGGATCACCTGTGGGATCAGCCCCGGCATCTCCCCGGCTCCCGGCGTCGTCCCGGGGTCCCGCCGCGCACCGCTCGGCCGCCATGCCACGGCTGGAAGTGGACCGGGCCTTTCCCCGCTCGGCGCGGGGCGCGCTGAAGATCGCCCGCACGGTACGGCGGGGCCGGCGGGGCCGCGGGCAGTGCCCGGGCCGGCGCTGAGCCCGTCCCTCCTGTCCGCAGCTGCTGGCGCTGGCCGCCCTCCTCTGCTTCGTGGCCTCGGGCGCGCACAGGGCCTACACGGCGCTGGCCGGCATGGAGACGGTGATCACCGCCCTGTTCCTGCTGATTTACCTGCTGAGGCTCGACGCGTGGATGCGGTGCCTCTTCTGGCCGCTGGCTGTGAGTACCGTGGGCTCCGAGTGCCGGGGTGCTCAGGCTGTGAGTACCCGTGTCCCCCGCCGTGAGTATTGATGGACTCTGGGTACCCACATGCCCTGCCCGTGGGTACCAATGTCCCCTAGCTGTGGGTTCCTCTGTCCCCTGCTGCGGATACCACTGTCCCAATGTCCCCTAGCTGTGGGTTCCTCTGTCCCCTGCTGCGGATACCACTGTCCCAATGTCCCCTAGCTGTGGGTTCTCCTGTCCCCTCGCTGTGGGTCATGCTGTCCCCTGGCTGATGTGGCCGCTGGCTGGGAGCAGTGGCTGGCCTGTGACCAGCAGGGATCACCTGTCCCAGGGGATGTTGTCCGTGGCTCAGTGATTGTTTCTGTACAGGTAAGGCAAGCCCCAGTGTTCTGTGGAGGTTGAGGCAGTTTATTCCTAAGGGAGTTCTGTTCCATCAGTTCCTGGACGGCTGCTGGATCCGATAACAGCCCCTCCCGGCAGAGGCACTGTTTGTCTCGCTGTGTAACATCTTCACATCACAAATTAGTCGCATATTTTCAATCAAATACTAACAAGTTCTCCTCTTACCTCCCTTTTGTTCGTGTATTTGCTGCTTCAGTCTATCAGGTGTAGCCAAGTTGCAAAAATTTGATGCAAAAACAGCAGAAGAAAGGTAAAACAAGGAACTTTTACTATAAACGCTCTTTTTGTAACCAAACCACTGGGTGTCAGTGTTCTCTCACAGATATTGCTGTAACTCTGTTTTCACGGCGGTCGAGCCGTTTTTAACTCCCTTCGCTGCTGGGAGATCTCCACACTCCTTCAGACCTGTATTTCAGAATAAATATTTTGCTTCCACTGGCTGTTTCAGGATATTTTCAACTCGGTGATTGCAGCGTTGTTCCTCCTCGTTGTGTGCTTGTTTGCAATAACAATCAAGACCAACAAGGGGACATTGGCTGGAGGAGTAAGTAGGAACATTGTTAATGAATTTCAGTTCTTAGAGTTCAGCGATTTGAACCTCTTGGTACACATTGTGGTAGGACCATGCAAACAACTGTCTTGGAAGAACAGTCTCAGCAGTAGCAAACAACATACATTCAGAGTATCTCACTAAAAGAAAATAATCCTCACATCACTAGTAATCTAAAGGTGTTACAAGACTTAGGAATTACTGCAGAGAAATATTGAAACACTGAAAATTTCTAGAGTTTTTTTAGTAACCTACATTTGCTACCATAGCTTGAAATCCTAGGTGGGAGAATCCCTAGCACTTTTAGGACTACCCAGTATGGTTACTACTTGAGAAAAAATGCCAACTGTCCTAAAAAGAGTTGAATCTTTTTAACAGACATGCTGGTACCTCCCTCCTGGCATGTACATTGTTTTTTCTTACACAACCTGAGGAATTATGTCAGTTAAAAAGGGGTTTTGTTCATACTATGATTATAAGAACTTCGTGTTCTTAAGATGAAATCAGTTTAATAGTGTAAGTATCTGGTATTTTTATTTCAAATGTCAATTAATATACTTAACCTTAAAAAACAATAAGGAGGGGAGGAAAACCCCTCCATTTTGTAAGTCTCTAGAAATACAAGATAAGCTAAAATGTGACAAGCAACCAAGAGAAACCTAAAACCTGCTACAGAGCTCTTTCAAACAAAAAGGAGACTTTCTGATAGAGTGAATGTGCTGGAATATAATTTATATTCTCAGTTGTGAAGTTCACAGAAATTAAAGGTGGGAGCAGGTAGCTGGGAACATAAGTTTGGGTGGAACATGTGACATCTTCAGTTCTGGGAGGGACAGAATCACCCCCAGCCTGTTCTCCTGAGGCACAAACTGCCTGACCTGTGCTCTCCCAACAGCTCTCCTGAAAATAACTCCCCTCATCAGATAATTCAGTGCTTTCATAAAAAACCCCAGTGTGCATGTGGGATGGGGCTGAAGGGCAGGAGCTGAGTGAGTTAACTCAGTGGCTTCTCTGCAAAGACATTTTTCTAGTTACTTGCCTGAGGTTGTCTTATTTTTAAAATAATTTAGTACATTTTCTTCAATTTGGAATATGTTTCCCATTCAGAACTTCAGAGGAAAAGAGCATTTTCCTGCTGGGCTTGTTTCTAGGAATACTTTTCCCTTTGAGTTTTCTCAAGGCCAGTCCCATTAATTAAGCAACCCTTAAAGGGACAGAAGGGCTTTCATTTAAGACAAAAAGCATTGACTGGCATAATGCAGCATTAGCTTAGCTTTCAGGGAGAGCACCACACTACCTCCAAGGCCTGACACAAACATCAAACAGAGCAGGCTGTAGACAGCTCTCTGAAAGGCTGATGGGATGTAAATGTGGGTTATTTAATTTATCAGCTGTTTCATATCACATACATTTTCAAGGCCAGAACCAAGTTAGGAAAATGTGTTTACTGATGAGTCACTACAGTAAAAGTTCGAGACTGATTGGGGGAACTAATTTTATGGTAATTTTTATAGGTGTTGGGTCTTATGTTGCTTGTTCTCTGCATTGTCGACGTGGTTCTTCTTTACAAGAAGATTAGCCTTGATAAAGCAAGAGGAAGGAGTGCTCCTGCCAAATAAGAATGACATGTTAGTGAAAGCATGAATTCTCCATTCTGTTTTCCCACTCTCTTTTAAAGCATTTGTATTTTTGCATGCTCAATTTTGGATTTCCTGTGCACTGATATTTCTGCAAGTATCATCCATAAGGTTTTGTACTTTTCCAAATGCAGTTTGAGCATTGCAATTTCACCAGTTAAAGCTTCAGTGAAAATTGTCATGTTTTTCTAAACTTACTTCTGTTTTTACTGTTAGAAAAATTATTTTCATGGTTGTCTTCTTTCTCTAATAAAAAGAAAATACAAACCGGCTTAAGTGCATTATTTAATGTTATTTCTTTAGTAAGTGTAAAAAAGTACATTGGAGTAAATGTACATGGCAAAGTAAAAATGTAATGAGCAGTAACCATCCCTCGGAAAGATTTTCTTGTGCCATGCCAATTTCATGTTAGAGCGTTCACCGAGGCATTCGGATCCTGAAATTCCAGCCTTGAGCGGGTTTGGCCTGGGTGACCTCCAGCGGCCCGTGCCATCCCCGGCGCCCGGTGGTTCTCTGTGCTCAGGGTGGCAGGGGGGACAAGAGGTGCCGGTCCAGCAGCACAGCACGGGCCAAGGCCAAGGTGGCAGCCGCTTCCATTGTCCCTGGCCCGGGGCTGGGGGCGGGCGCTGGGGCCGCCCCCCACAGCTGGGGATGCTGAATCTTTTTTTTTTTTCACGTTTCCGCAGTGTCACGATTTCCGCTTCCCTCCTTCAGAGAGGGAAAAAAAAAAATTCCACGGCCAACCCCCTCCCCCGAGCGTGCTCCCGAGCCCGGCTCGAGCTCAGCCCGATCTCGGCCAGAGCCCGGCCCAGCCCAGCCCAGCCCGGCCCGGCCCGCGCCCACCCCGCCCGCGCCGCGGCCATGGAGGACCCCGAGCCCGCGGGGGCCGCGCCAGCCCCCGGGCTGAGCTCGCTGCTCCCCTCCCGGGAGCTGCTGCGCTCCCGCAAGGGCCAGCTGCTGCTCGCAGAGTCGGTAAGGACGGGACACCGGGGCCGGGGGGCTGCGGGAGCCATCGCCGGGGCAGCCGGGACCCGAGCGGGCTCCGCCGGACCGACCCGCCCGGGCCGCTCCCCGTGCGGCTGAGCCGAGAGCGGTGACGGGAAACAACCGAGGGGAGAGGGGGCAACAACCGAGGGGAAAAGTGGGGAACAACAACCGAGGGGAAAAGTGGGGAACAACAACCGAGGGGAGAACTGGGGAACAGCAACCGAGGGGAAAAGTGGGGAACAACAACCGAGGGGAGAACTAGGGAACAACACCCGAGGGGAAAAGTGGGGAACAACCACTGAGGGGAGAACTACGGAACAACAACCGAGGGGAAAACAACCGAGGAGAGAGGGAGCCAACATCGAGGGGAGATGGGGAAACAGCCACACCGGAGTGGGGGAACTGCAGAGCTGAGAGTGAAATGGATTTAGCGTCATTCAGGCACAGCACCTTAGAGACCAGAACTTGTCACGTTAGACTTCCAGTGCCCTCACTGTGTTTCACTATCGGGGATTTCTTTTCGGTAAAAAAGCGCTTTGATTTCGTTTTAAGCTATTTGCGGTGTGAATCCAGTCACCACTAGGGCTGCAGTCTGCATTATCGGCTGGTGCCAGGGTAGGGGCAGCCTGTCCTGAGTGTGTCGGGAAAGAATTTACTCATGAATTGAGGATATGTGCATCACGGTCACTCAGCTGCTGTCCAGAGCGGTGCTTGTCCCTGACCCTCAGGGATGCGCTCGCTCGCTGCTGTGCAGCCCTGGGGCTGGAGAGCTGCCCGGAGGGAAAGGCCCTGGGCTGAGACAGCCGCTGGGCACCAGGCCAGGTGGGCACAGGGCCAGGGGACCTAGCCTGGATCAGCAGCAGTGTGGCAGCAGCACCAGGGCAGGGACTGTGGTGTGAGACTTTATGGAATTTACCGTGTACAGGCTTAAAACCTGAGCTGAAACAGTACCCACGTGATAGGGAAGGAGATCGCCCACCCCATGAGGAGTTGGTATTTCACACCAAAATTTAGCTTTTGAAGAGGAAGCTTGTTGAGTGAAATTAGATGTTCAACATCATTTTTGCTAGAAATAATGATAAATTCAAACAGTGAGTTTGCTGGAGTTTTGGCAGCAGATAGTCAGATACCAGGACAGCCCAAACCAGCAGTCAGGTCCATGGAGCACTGTTGAGATGTGCAAGGTGTCTCTGGCTATCCACTGTGCTAGCTCAGGAAAAGAAACCAGGATATTCCAGCAAAAAGAGAGATAAGGAACAGACAGAAGCAGGCAGGATTGCCTGTGACCAGCTGGTGGGACCAGCCCTGGGGGCTTGTGGGGCTGCAGGCAGAGAGACAGGGAACAGCCAGATGAGGCTGGCTTTGAGAGGAAAAGCATTCACTCTGGAGGTCAGGTTGACTTCTGTGGTGGGGAAAGCCTCGGGCTGGGTAGCAGCAGGCCACGGGCTTTATCTCCACCAGAAGAATGCCAGCTACCCCATCCCTTCTCCAGGTACCCCATCACTCACACAACATGTGTAGTTTACCGACCCACACATTTAGAAGATACCAGAGCCCAGCTAACCTGGCTCCTTTGGCACGTAGTTTTGTTACATACTATAACACACACTGGAATTTCCTTTACAAGCTTACAGCCACTAAATGATGGCTTTCAGACAGCCTCAGAATGATGGCATATTGGAGGAATACTGTTCTGGTCATGGGATCCGACTCACCCGTTTGTTGTCATAGAGAAGAACTGACAAAGCCTCCTTGGAGTAATAAAAACTGCTCTGTCTTGACAAAACAGGGATTTATCCTTTGTAAGGTTGCTCGGAGCTTCCCAAGGGCTTGGCTGGCTGAAAGCAGCTCTAAAATCCCATCTGCAGAGAGCTTTCCTTGTGCTCCTTGCAGGCCAAGCCCACGTGCTCAGGACGTGGTTTCCTGGCAGACAAGAGGCAGCAGTAGTTTCTCTCCAGTTGTCTCAGCTTTGCCAGAAGAAACCCTTGAAGACAACACAGGCCCCAGAGTAAATGCAGCCTGTATACAATTAGAGAAATGCAGTGCCAAATAACTGAAGATGAGTCCAACTTAAATCTATCATGGTTTAAATCTGTGTTTCATCTTTTGCTTTGTATTTCTTGTCTTGAATATTTAATTTTTTTCCTCTGACACAGTGCTAATGTGGGGTGGGGTTGTGTTCTGCATAAATGTATGGAAATAATATTCATGGATACACTTTTTGAACAGTGCCTTTTGTTCAGAAGCAAAGTGGGGTCCTCGTTACTGTTACAAATGTCACATTATTCAGCATCTTGGCAGTTCCCCAGAAATGCACTTTATTTCTGCAGCTCTCGAGCCATTTTTGAAAATAACATTTCCACATGGAAAATCTTTGGGATGTTCAGGTGTGATTTGCTCTGGTGCAGGACCCATGTAAACTGGGCATCCCAGTGCTTCCCCTAGAACAGGCCAGGCTGGGGATGGAGCTGATTACAGGTAGAGGCTTAATTATAATCTCAAATTTTATTCAGATAAAGAAATTATCCTCCCCCCCATCCCCTGTTCCTTTTTCTTTTGATCTCCACAGAATGGTTGGGGTTGTATGGGACCTGTGAGGAACATCCAGGCCACCTCCCCACTGACCTGCATGATTAATTTTTTATTCCACCTGGGGCAGCTGTAAAGCCAGAAAGAAGCAGTAGCATCGAATACATTTATAAGCTTAACTATCTCTTCTAATCCTGTTTATTCTCACTGCCTTGCTCCCTCCATTTTCTAACCACCGTTTTTAATCTTTCAAGTTACTCTTTTTTCCTCTCTATTCTCCCCCCCATGCCATAGTTTCTTCTACATATTTTAAGACTCTTCTTAAGCTACTGATTTTTCCTAACCATTCATGTTGCTGTGTTGAAGGTCAGCATCTCATCCTTGCTCTTTTCTACCTTCAAGAGATGAGTTTTCATTTCCCTATGTCCGAGTTGGAACCATTTAACAGCCACTCTCACACTGGCACCAGAGCTTGTCCAGCAGGATCCCCAGCAGTGGATTCTGCTGCTCACCTGGCTGTTCACTCAAGCCCTTGTGGCTGCTTTAATTGGCATCTCCTCAGTCTCCTAAAGCCAGCATGCAGTGGCACTACATTTTATTTCGTTTTTATAAAAATGCAGTGTGAATAGGTAAAGCTGTGCCACCTTCATGATGACATAAAAAGATGTAGAAATCATTATGCCTGTTTCTCTCCTCTTTTCCTGTCTTTCTTCTGTCTTTTCAGTCTCCTCTGACCTGACCTTCGTAACTGAAACTCCTGCTGCTCGGTGTAAACTCTCCTTTGAAGAGGCCCCTGTGTTTTTCTCAGGCCTGTAGCCAGAAGGCCTCTCCTGCAGCCAGTTGTGGAGGAAGCAGGAATTTCACCTCCTCGACAAGTGCAGCAGAGAAGTAGTAACTGAACAGCAGAGACCACTGAGTGATGCACTTTGTCTGTCTGACAAGAATACAAGAAAAAAACACACTCTTGTCCAGAAGATGACACTGCTACCCACTCGTAAAGCCTCAGGCAAAGCTGTTCTTTCCTGGGGAGGGAGGTGGGAGCAGGAGATGAGGAGGTGGTGCAGAGATGGCAGTGGCTACCCAGCATCCCTGTATTCCCAGTGGGTTCCAGTGGGTCTGTTCTCTCTCCTCAGGGGAGACAAAGGCCTCTGGAGCTGCCATGACCTCAGCGCTGTCAGGCCTCCCTCCCTTCAGGGACACTGTGCTCTCTAACCACTGTCAGGATTATTTTTTAGACCTTGAACTGCAAGCTGGTTGTACAATAAAGTATAAACTTTGTAATGCCTGGCTACTTTAAGAAGCTCAGCAACACAATAATAAATAGTAATTACATGGGTTTAAATGGGAAAGTTAATTTCTGAAACACAATACCCAATAAGGGTTTTGTGTGAATGGGAGTGTACATAAAAGGTGCTCAGTGAATAGTCAGGCTGCTTTTTTGCCAGGATTTTTTATACTCTTGTGACTGCCAAGCCCTGAAAGGTTCTTCCTGTCCTGCTCTGTGCTGCATTAGAGCTTCCTGCATGCAGATACTCCTTCACAGTGAAGCTGGCAGCAGTCACACCAGCCTGTCATCAGCAGCTCAGGAAGAGCTCAGACTCTGCTGCTCTCAGTGCTCAGGGTGCAATCCCAAGTGAGGGGAAGAGAAAAACACTGTGTAAATACCAATTCACAAAACTGATAAAATACTGCTGCTTTTTTTTTCCCTCCTAGAAGCTGCAGTGCTTTCTGAAAGTGCTAGAAATGAACTTGCAA